CTGTCAGTACATCCTCCGTTTAAAAAGCACAGCTGTACGGGTCCGCAATAATAGAACCCTTAATTGTTAACAGAATCAGGAGAGGGAAGATAAATTTTGTATGCCTTCATGCGATCGGCCATGACGTTTAAGCAAGCTTTTACATAATGTAGGCCTGTTATTCCTTCAGTATATGTAGGAGATAGAGTCAAGTGGTATTTGTCTGTATATTAAGAATTGATGGCGGTACATAGACCTCAGACGTTTTCAATATTTTTAGGCCGTTCTTATAATAATGCTCATTAATACCATTCTTCCCTCTCTTTTTAATTGGTCATAGTTTCATTAGATAATCTCAGGATGATTATTGACATTGAAAACGTATAACCCGATGAAATATTTATATAGTAGTGATTATCTGGGAATTAACTGGATGTTTTCCTTCTTTCTTTGAAAACAGACTCGAAAACACCGGCATTGACAACCAAGCATTCCAACCCGATGATGGAACAATAAGGACAGAATTATGAATTGAACACTAAAAAATAGAAAAGTTTAAATATAAAACAAATTAAATAATATATGTTTGCTGCATGTGTAATGCCCATGACAATGATAAATGTCATTCCACGATAATTGTATATGTATAGGCCTATATAAGAGATACAAGGTGTCTTTAAGTCGAAACGAGAAGCTATGAGATACACTGGCCACGCCTCAGACATGCAGCAAAACAATCACGATATATAAGCCTAAATTCCTACTGTACAGTTTTCAGAGCTTCAGCTCTATGTTGTATTGGTTTATTTTTCCTTCCGATCTATTCAATATAATATAATATACTGTCACGATTGTGATAAGTGTTTATGTTTAAAAAAAATCTAGATTCAAACTTATAACCCTCTTATTACTGAATGGTTGATATAACCTTGGACCACCAACCCGTCGGAAAAGAAGCCACTTATTTCGGCAGGGAACTTAAAAAGAAGCAGTTTTACAGTATGAGTAGAGTGCCATTTCAGCGGGCATTCATAGGTGCTTATTCTAAAATTTTCTCCAGACAGGGTGGGATAATGACCTGGATTTGGACCCCTTTTGTGGGACTTGGAACCCTCGTCGGGGAATTTGGACCCTTCATCTGGGAATTTGGAAGCTTCCTCGGCGAAATTGGAACCTTCATCGGGGAATTTGGATCCCTCGTCGGGGAATTTCAGACACCACCTCTAGGATATTGGGATATGAGATCAAGCTGGTATAATTCGCTGGATATTCCCCATACGCATAGGACAAGTGTGATTTATGATATAATTTATACATTACATGATATTAACTTGGTATGGGAAATATTTTTATTAGTGGTAGTAATGGTGTTCATGCAGCGAATTTCGTCTTTCGATTGTCGGTGACGCTATTAAGTCTTGCTTACATCATGGTCCTATTAATAGGTCATACTTTACTGTACATACTTTCTTAGGCGTTAATCTTGTATTGACCATATAATATGGCACATGCCATAATTACTGTATTATATAATATTAATTATTGGGAGTAATGGTCGTCTTGGAGCGAATTGCGTCTTCGATTGACGGTGACGCTATCGAGCCTTGCTTACCTTATCTAGTAGGCCTACGGTACTTTACTGTACATACTTCATTATGCGTTAATCTTGTATTGACCATATAATATATGGCACGTGTCATAATTACTGTATTATATAATTACATAATTATTATTACTAATTAATTCGGTATATTGCTAGATATTTTAAATAAGGATATACGGTTGTGGCTCATTTCTTCTAAATCTTGTATTTTCTAATTATTAATAATTAAAAGAAATTGAAACAAATTGGTGACTGTCTTAGTAATTATGTCCTTATTTTGTTAGCCGAGTTAATTGCTTAACACACCAAGTTGATGATTCGGGACACAAAAGCTACAGTAGCCCAATGATAAATTGACCTATAATAATTAAGAAGATATTTAGATATGATTTATATTTATTATTTAAAACATTCTTATTCAGTTTGTAGAACCTACATATACAGGAATTCATATAGGAAACTAAGTACCATACATAATATTATAGCTCATGGATTATCGCCTATATTCAGTAGTGTATGGGAGCCATGAAATGAAGAAGGGGGAATGAATGTTGGGTGCGAGTGGGTGGGTTCGATAATTAAGTAAGGTGGCGCTAGCTCGCAAAATAAGATGATATGAAGTGATTTTTACCTACTTAAGCGTGGTTTTTTAATTTTAATTTTAACATTTTCAATGGGATTATTTGAATACTTTCAATGGAGATGGGGACCGGGAGGGCGTGGGGCGACTGGGGGAGAGGTTTTCAGGGAGCGTGTGGTAGGTAAGCCAGTGCTCTCGGTTAGCTCGAAAAGGTTTGAAACGGCCAAATAATGCAAAACAATTTAAAATTAAAACGAGACAGTAGAGAAAATCCGATCAGAATGACAAAATAAACTAAGCATCCACTGGAAGGAATCCCAATCTGCAGACGGATCCGTTTGGGCCTTCCAGGCCTCATCAGTGCAGCTGGGGTACAGACCCAAACGAAACGTTCGACCAGCTTAGGCAGGGCCCAAACTAGTCCCACGACCACTAATGATTACAGAGCCAAACCAAGGCAATATATATACACA